TTTCCTGAAATTCATTTTCATTAATACAAAAAAATGCACTGTAACACTTTTAGCACTGCAAATTTAATTATCTTAATATGCAATTTATCCGGAAAACTTATCTCAGCACGATTTACTGTTAAAGGTAATTTTTTGGGCTGTTAAAACATAATTTCTGAAACTTAAAATCACAGTCACTCCCACTATCCCTCCCCTTGAGAGCCTCCTTTATATCACCCGCCTCTTATTCTTCTTCTAATTCAAGGACTTTCATTCTCACTATCCCTCTAACCTCTTCTCAGCCACCGAGTCATCCTCTATCCCCTACTCGACATAAGCAAACACAGACACGTTCACAGACACAGAACCAGTACAATATGTCCCACTGGGAGCTGACTGTTGCAGGAATTAGACCTCACACCGCTCGTCCCTTAGAGGCAAGGAGGTGGCACACAGCCCTTATACTCTTGCACCGCTGAGGTACACTCCCACTGCACCTCACCTTATTTTCTTAATGATATGTCTTTGTTAACAAAATCTAGTAATATGTTCACCTATTATTATTATTATTATTGTTATTGTTATTGTTATTATTATTATTATTATTATTATTATTATTATTATTATTATTATTATTCCACTCTTGACAATCTTGGTCAGAGAAGATCACATGTAACAGGGAATGTCTTCTCTGATGTTCCCCCTCCCGTATCCTTGTTCCTTCACAACACACAACGTCCATTAAACTTTCCGGTTGTGTTCACCCCTTAATATCTGTTCCCCTCCTTATCCCATCCTACAATCTTTTATGTGGTCTTCCCCTCTCTCTTAATATCCCTATACCACCTGAGCAAAGCCTGATCGGTTCTCTGTTTGACTCTCATTTCAAATTTCCGTGTTAGTTCTCCTCTCACTTCAACAGCTTCATATTTCCGTGTTTCTTATTCTTTCCATCCCGTTCCTTACACATATTCTTCTCAAATAAGTCATATCAATCACTTCCATCATGTTTTTTTTTACTCTCTGCAATCGGAGCTAATACCTCTATTGGAGATAATGGTTTAGCAGCCGTACTGGTCGTGTAGGTAATGGTTCAACAGTCCTAGAGGTCGTCGAGGTACCGTCGTCGTTGTAGAGGTGATAGTTCAGTTGCCTAAGTTGTCGTTGTCATTCGGGTGATGTCTTATTTCACACCCACGAACCTGTAAGTAAACAAAAAACTAAATTTAGTAAGAAAATTCACTTCCTAATGTTTTAAGACACTATCTGCTGTCCACTAGTGTATCAAATTTTAACATCCTATCTCAAAAAGTGCCCGTAATATCGTCCGGACAAACAAACATAAGAAAGAAAACAGAGTAACCACTACCTCCCTCTGCCACGTGCATCGTACAACACCTGATGACTTTATACAATGAAGCAGACATAATTCTCTTAATTCTCCTTATTCATAACATCATGATTTAAGATAATACCTTAGTATGGAACAGTAAGTCAGCGTGGTCGTCACAGCAATCACTATCACCCATGAAGGTTTCGTCACAATTCGTTAATAAACAAAGGAAGCTCTCCAAGAGTCGGGATACAGTCATTGTTGAACCATGTCAGTGACTGGTGTCTGGTGTTGATCCAAGTTGTACTGTGTTGTTCTATTACCAAGGACGACCAGCTAGGATGTTTGGGTAAATGCCCCATCAAACAAACAAACAAACAGCCAAATCGAACAGGTAAGTCTTCGTTTTCGCCAGTTAATATTAATCAAGCCTGAGATGCACGCAAAGTGAGCCCAGAAAAGCCAACCCCCTTACTTCAGACTCACACAAGCTTCATGCCCTCTGGTGGTGTCCCCTGTGACGCACAATATCATATTTCTTTGAGTAAAGCGAGGAACACAGTGACCCTTCGTGAATGGGCAAAGCTTTAACATGTCCGCCAACAAAGCACCAATACGTTTGAAGGGATCTGATGGCTTTAAAGCGGTTCACTGGTGTAAGTCCAAGTTGTCTCCATGTGGTGGATTTACAGGATGCCACGACTTGTAAACCAGATCACTGTCTTGTATCCCGCGATCGTCAACACTACGATAAACGTAAGGAGATAGTGTGTCATAAATACTGTTCACTCGTTCCATATGTGTTTTTGCTTTCAATATAAGACTGAAGATTCTGTTTTTCTCGTCTTAACACCTGGATAACAACTAATAGTATAAATTTGAAACATACAGTAGATGAAACAGTTAACTTTACAATACTAAACCACACATCTACACATCTATAATGTCCAGTGCCATAATTATGCACCAACTGAAGGCTGTGTGTAACCTCACCCAAACTGTTGACATGTACAGTGGAGGATCACACAGTAGGTGATGACGGCAGCCACTTGTACAGGTGCTCAGTGCTATAATGGCGTCTCTCTCAAGTTGAACAGCCTAAGTTTCACCTTATGAAAATATTTCACGAGCTCACCTTCTGATGCACCTCCTCGTCCTACACACTTGACTATGGCGAGGGAAAGATAAGCATCCTTTCGAGTCCCTTCCCTCATCTCTTGGCTCAAATATACTCCCGGCTCTCCCCATCATTATGAGCTACACAAAGCTCTCATAGGTCCTTTCCTTCCCTGCCTTTGTTTACTTGCTTTCAGTAGTCCCTTTCCTATTCTGGGTATCCATCCATTCATCCTCTCTCTCCCTTACACTACCACCATCTGCTCCAATAGCCCTTTCTCTGTTAACTAGTACGGGTTATTCATACAGTGCTGCGCAACCATAACAATCGATATTTCTCGGTCATTGAGTGCCATTCTCCGTCAGGGATAAAGTAACATTACCAACAAGGTAAACAGATGAATTTAAATAGAATTAATTTTTAACTTAGTTTAGTCTAACAAGTACTGTATTCAGTTCACTGTGCAGTGTGCATGTTATAATGATACAGAAAGTTACAGCAGAAGTTTCATGATACTGTAACTGCTAGTGAGGCTTAATTCTCAGTGAATTTCTGTGTTGTAGAATACAGAGGAAGTCTTAGGTAATCATAATTAAAAAAAATTAATTCAGTATCAAAATTCTATTGTTACAACTAAATAGAAGGAAAAAAACACTTATTACACAACTCAGACTCATCTAACTTTAACAATCAATCGTCTTTCACAACAAGGAAGACAATCTGTTTTGTGTCCATCTCTGACACCCGAGAACACCATTTATTACCCGAGCGCCGCCACGGAAGAGAGGGAGGTTCTACGTATAGTTGAGGAGAGACAAGAACAAACCACACTCGTTACTACAACTCACTACAATACACGTATATATGTGAGTGTTTTGTGAGAATGAGTTAGTTTGTACAGGTCGAGCAACATCAGTGCATCAGTGACTCGGAAGAAAAGTGATAATTAAAAAACACATGAGTCAACTAGTATGACAAGCTTAGGAAAGTTGCTTGAGCTGAGCCGCTGTCTGGGTCGTTTGTTGCTAGTAATTTAAATTTGCGAAAATATGTATTTCAAATATAATCTCTCGGTGACAGGAGTGACCCGCTTGTCCCATGATGTAAAGGAATGAGAGTCACTTTGTATTGGTTTGTTTTTATTTACATATATTTCAGCGACATTGGTATCTAAGTTATTGCCCATTATAGGATGCTTAGAAAATTATAACCCACCTATAGGAACATGTGACTGCTTTAATGGGTGGCGAGGAGACGTACAGTATCTAGGATAACGGAGACACACCCAGCTCCATAGTACATCATTTACCTGACAGCCTATTTCTGTCAATTTCGGGGTGGCAAAACTCCCACTGACAGGAAGAGGAATACATCACCAACCCAGTGGTCAGACATCGACTTGTGATCTAGAGGAAATATTAAAAGGCGTAAATCAGAAGAAGAAAAGGTTGTTAAGGGAAGTAGTCTACTAACCACTTGTCTACTCAATCCCCTCTGTACTGAATAAATTCGTCTGGTGTTATTAAAAGTGGCGTCCCCGTAATGAATCGTTTAAATTGTTGTTTCTTGGCAGGGCGGTGACCACCCTCATAAGCTATGTGGAGCCTCTAAGCTGTGCAGGAGGTCACGAGGTCCCCATTTAACCTCATGGCTAGACTACTCAAGATATATAAGTTCCGTGAAGATGCCACTCAGAAATTTGCTAGCAGAGTTAACGAACAGGTCTGCCCCCAGCTAACTCTTATCCCTCATCTGAACCATAATAAAATAAGGTAAACCCTCTACATCAATCGGGATCATACTTAAGTTTACAATTAATATTGATATTTCTTTATCATTTAAGTAATTCAAGCTTATTTAAATAGCATTCTGTATTTCAAGTTTAACATTTTATTATTTTTGCCCCGGTGACTCTCTCTCATCTCAAACCTTACCGATGGACTCAGGACTTGGATATACACTAAATGTATCACTAATAAACGGTATTATCCTTCCTGCTCATTTAATATCTAATTTACCAAATGATTGTTTACATCTAACAGCAGTCCTCCTTAGTCTGAACGTCAGCTCTACCTCTAGCCGCTATAAGTAATAACGAAAGGCCCAAGAATGCTTTATATGCCGTGACCTATCGCTGTCATGATCCGTCCAGTACACACACACACGACCCTGTGAGAATGGTCAAATAAATAACATATGACCAAAGACTAAAGGAAAGGTTTACAATATCAGAATTCTTCGTCGTTATACAGTATTAACATGTAAATTAACAGATCCCTCTCTTATAACTAATACCTCCATCTGTTTTTAGGATTCTGAATTCGCTCATCGTAGAAAACAAAACTCGTGTCTGTGTCCAGTAATACATGTTTTGTTGGACACACTCGCAGCGTATAAAGGCTACGAGGAGGAGTCAGTGATAGCGTGTAAATTGTGTGTTCCATGACTTGAGGGGATGGTAGGAAATGTAAATGATGAGAAGGGTCTATCGATTGGGGGAGCTCTTGTCATAACTTATTCATCAGATACCGAGGAACCCGGACAATAAACCTACCTGTAATGGCAAGAAAA